TACCGCTGAGCCTACCACAACATCCCATGGGTGGGTCACTTTTCGGCCGGGGAAGTCATTTCTTCAAATTCACTTTCATCTTGCAACTGTAATTGGGGCCGGTGGATGACTGCTGTGTTGTGCATAGTATGTGGGCTTTCACGAACTACTTGATCATAGTGTATCTCAAATAGTTGTTCTAACATTGTCCATTTTAGATGCCTTCATTGTGTATGTTGTAGTGGTATATCAAATTGGCTTTCATCCACGTAGGATTCGGACGTAGCCCGCCGTGTAAATTCTCTGTTTCTCTCTATTCATTCATGTTATGTATTTCTTAAACGCTGAGACACTCTGGGATATTATTTTCCTTCTTCTGTACAACTGGAGGCGGGTAAGCCTTAACGGTGTCTGATAACCCACGGGCTGCCTTCCAAATCCGTCACATCCCGTTATCTGAGCCTATTGAATTATCCAACTGGTCGGGTCTAATGGACTATATGACTTTGAAAATACAGGCTTAAGCACAGGGCACCGCCAAGTCAACACTGCTAATATACAAATAAACAATGACTATGACGTGTTCGTTGTTCGTTGTTGCTTCACATTGGGCGGATATGGTCCGCAAAGATAAGACAAGCCTCTATCTTGGAAACTTGGTATCTTGGCATCTCGAAAGTCAAAACTTGATGATAAGACCTCATTTCCAATGCGACTGTTCTCAAAGGCTAAAAGAATCGTTGCTGCAGAGTATCTGTACGGAGTATAGAATAATATGTATTTCAGCCGTGCCTGGGGTTGGGGCCAGGCACGGGGTGGGATGCTCTCCAGGTCAGACCGAAATTGCGAATCTTGAATCCATAATGGTTTCAACGGAGCACCGTACGGGTGACACAAAGGAACGATCCTTTAGCGCTAGTACGGGTTGTTATTGGGTTTAGGGGATACGCCAGCGTTACATCCCCATGCCTATTCGTCATTTCTCTCCACCATGCCGTGCAGTTGCAGCCCACTCTTCCTGCATATGCTTCATTTTAGCTGGAGAAGGACTAGTAATCTACTAGAAGTCGAGGAAAAATCTCAAACCGGTTCCTAGTGCATGGCTATCACGCGATTGAAGCGGGATATTTGCCCCCAATCGCCGAATTTTCTGTGTTGGTGCTCTGTACGGAGTATTTATTGTCGATCTCCTCCAGATATCCTTTAGCAACCAAACATTGATCCTAGTGTTTTTATTTCCCAATGGGTAAGTAGACCATATTGATTCATCAAAAAGCATCCGGAGACTGACCTTGTCGAAATCGTCAGGCAATATTGAGCCCAATACGGACACCTCAGGGTTCACAGCCCGTGGGCACTCTCAAACATCACAAGAATCTCAGGAATCTCGGGAATCCTACGACGATGAGCTTACCCCCCCAACCAAGGAACAAGATTCCACACTTCGCAAAGTGGCCGAAAATCTGCCCCTCGTTGGTTTCTCCCTTTGTTTAGTCGAGTTTGCCGAGCGCGCGTCCTACTATGGAGCACAGACAGTCTTCTCCAATTTTGTCCAATTCCCACTGCCCGAAGGTGAGCCAAGTTTTCTATTGAGTATCGGGGAATATCATTGCTAAAGAAGTATAATACACAGGTGGCAATGGAGCCGGTGCTCCTCCACGTGGAACCCAAAAGACAGCCGGAGCCCTGGGAATGGGATTACAAGCCAGTACTGGTCTCGTGCTACTATTCAAATTTTTGGCCTATATCGTCCCAATCTTCGGTGGTTACTGGGCAGATACTTATGTTGGGCGGTATAAGGCCATTGTGATTGGTGTTTTTATCTGTGGTGTTGCCCATATCATCCAGGTCGTCGGAGCCATCCCCTCTGTTCTCCAGAAGGGAAAATCCAACGCGGCTCCGCCGTTCATCCTCGGCCTCTTGCTTCTTGCTTTCGGTGCCGGTCTCTTCAAGCCGAACATCTCACCGACTGTTCTGGATCAGCATAAATCCCAAACGCCATACGTCAAAACTCTCAAATCGGGCGAGAAGGTTATTGTCGACCCCGAAACCACCAATAATCGGACTATGCTGCTGTTCTACATGTTTGTCAACATCGGTGCTTTCTACATGCTAGCCACAACCTATGCGGAAAAGTACGTTGGGTTTTGGCTTTCCTTCCTGCTATCAGGTGCCATTTACTTCTTGCTTCCAATTCTCCTCTTGGCTGTCTATAAAAAGACCAAAAAGCAGCCTCCTAGTGGAAACAAGGACCTCGCGGAAGCCGCTAAAATTGTATGGACTGCCCTTGTACAGAGCAAGTTCCAATTCTGGCGCAAAGACTTCTGGGATTTAGCAAAAGCCGAAAACCTTCGCAGTAAGGGCATCGAAGTTACTTGGACCGATACCGCAGTATTCAAAGTTGCGAAAACAATGGGTATGATACCTCCCCAATCCTTCTTCCACTTTGCTTCAAGCAAAGGCAGTTAGTCACATTGATCAATTCTAACAATTGTGTTCATTAACAGAGGCCTGCGACATCTTCTGGTTTTACCCAATCTACAATCTAAACGACGGTGGTATCGGCTCAGTCTCCACAAACCAAGGTGCATCAATGATCACGAACGGAGCACCCAACGACCTTCTCAACAACTTCAACCCACTGACAATCATGGTCACCATCCCGATCCTGACTTTCGTGATCTACCCATTCCTTGAGCGGCGCAGGTTGAAGCCCGGTCCCATTACCCGAATGACAATTGGCTTCTCTATTGCCACTCTAGCCGGCATAGTTGGCACACTGGTCCAATGGAAAGTCTACCAGCTCTCACCGTGTGGCACTCACGCATCGACTTGTGACAATGTCGCCGATATTAGTATCTGGTGGCAGATTCCCAACACAGCTCTCAGCGCCATCAGTGAATGTTTCGCCAACGTCACGGCGTACGAGGTGGCCTATGCTCGGTCCCCGGATAGTATGAAGGGTCTGGTCATTGCTATTTTCCTTTTTATGACTGCCTTGTCTAGCGCTCTTGGTGAAATTCTCATCCCCGCCATTAAGGACCCGTGGCTGATCTGGATTTGGGCTGCTCCTGCCGTCGCCCTGGCGGTTCAGACTGTTATTTTCTGGTTCAGGTTCAAGCATATGAACTCTGAGAACTACTTCGCCGATAATGTGGAACCTTCTCGGGTTGAGGAGCAGCAAGTTTTATCCAAGACGGAAGCTTGAGTTTCGCGGTCTATGATCATAAATCTTAGGGCGAGGCATTGCCTGTCCTGTTTCATGAATGGCGGATGATAATATATTTTCGAACTGTATTTACTCTACTCTGCGTATATACCTTGATAGTTACTTTTCCTAATTGTCCCTGCGAGAATTCGTAACCTCTTGAGAGCGGAAATGAAAAGTGACCATATTAATATATTCTTTGCTGGTACGTAAGGTGCCAGGCTGTGCCTCGTTATACCAAGTTCTCTGTTTGACTTGCCTGCATATCAGGTCAGCCATCATTTAATAAATCTGTATTTGGAAAATATCAGATTTACTGTGATGAATAAATACAATGTGAATATTTAGGCTCAAATTTAAGAAGAAATTGACCTTCACGAGGCCTGATTCAGAAATTAAGGAGTAATCAAGAAGCGATCAAACAGCATAATCTCGTCACCAACGAGTGCAACATCCTCATATCACAACATTGTCCCTTGGTATCGCTTTGCTTGTAGAGCAACAATAAATTCGCGCTAAGTAGTCAGACCATGGTAAAACCATCTATATATAAAAAGAAACGAGATCATAGGAAAAGGTAGAAAGAGCGCTAGCACTATCGCCTCTAGGGTGAGATGTCACCTAGGGGGTGATAGGAGCCTATGTACTTGGACTATCCCCGTTCCTAAGATAATTATATAAGCCCAAATCAAACTCTAGGACCCTTTTTTTATTCTGCCATGATATGTAAATAAGTCTAGATGATATCGGTGGAGTCCGTGGCTTTCGTTTCGACCGACAACGATAGTGAGGCGTAGAAAAATATAGCGGAGGGAGGCTCTAGCAAGCACGCTTCTCGGCTGCATGTAGTTTAATTAGACACCTACCTCCGGCATACCGGAGATTTTACGGCATATTGAAACGACCGATTATGTCATTTCACTTTGAAACTAGACCTGCTCCACAGTTTATACATTGAGTAGAAGAGTCATTTAGTAGTGCTTATATTGTGGAGCTAAATGGGGGTCCGTTTGCGGCATAATAGGTATGAAAGACCGGAGACCGGAGTTACTCGATTTACTATCTGAATCGCAATTTCTTAGATCCCATTAAGAACCGTGGAGGACTAACGTGTCGTCGCACTTTTAAGGGCTGTGTTCACCTGGGTATTGTAGATTGGGATTTGTTGTGATCTGCAGCATTCATGCGAGCTTTTGGTATTAAATGGAGGACTTGGGTTTGTGTTTTTTTTTAATCTGTTTAAAAAAAAATAAAAAATTGGAATGCCCGTTAGATTTGTGAGTCAATAACTGGCGGAAACTTTATCATAAATATTTTAAGCTCAGTTCTCGAAACAAAAAAATGCCTTCGGAGACACGAGCCGAGAAAGGATCGGATCTCTAAGAAAAAACCTGACATGATCAAATTAAAGAGACATTAAGCGTAATTCGGCATACCGGCAATGATATCACACAATTAAAAGTTGGGCTAGATGCAGCTGCATGGATTTTATAGGTGTATTTTCGGTGATCGTTCGGACCGAGACATTGCCGGTCACATGCCGCTGGTTTAGTGCGCCATTTTCTGCCTTGCTGACTTTCCGGTGATCGTCCGGTCTATCTCGGAGATGGGTCGGGCTTGCAAGTATATACCTGACGTCGAAAGCCTCCTTGGAGGTATAAGTATCTGCTATGTTACCTTCAAAATATCTCGCACGACCATATACTCTCAGAAGTCCTTCTATTCTTAATAAACTTGCACATTTATTATTATGTCTTCAACAATACCAGAAGACCCAGAGACCCCAGAGCCCTTGCATTCCCAGCACTTAAATATGACCGAAACCCAAGAGAGCCTCCGCAACCGGGGTATCGCAGAAACCCCTCGACCATTGGACTACAACTACCCAACTATTGGACATGGTTCGGACCCTGTGTTCCCTGAAGAGTATACCGTTGAAACCAGTACTGGCCTTGTTCCTCAAAGAACCCTGGAGCAAATCCGATCTCATGGTTCTATCCCATCCACGAAAATTGACACACCAACATACGAGCCCGACACCGACATTGAAAAAGGAGGAAACGGCCCTACGGAGTTTGTAACCTTCACCATCGATGATCCTGAACACCCCTACAATTGGTCCAGCGTTTACCGCTGGTACGTCACTCTTGTCGCTTCGGCAGTTGTGGTATGTGTCGCATTCGGGTCCTCCATCGTCACTGGAGGATTGGGTTTAATCGAAGAACAATACCATGTCTCTCTCGAAGTTGCGATCCTGACATGTTCAATCATGGTCTGCGGATTCGCAGTTGGCCCTCTACTCTGGTCTCCCCTCTCTGAGATCATCGGCCGAAGACCTGTATACATCATCTCCCTCACTTTATATACCATTTTCAACATTCCATGCGCTCTGTCCCCGAACATTGGTGGCTTGCTCGTGTGCCGGTTCTTATGCGGTGTCTTCTCCAGTTCGGGTCTCTCCCTCGCTGGTGGCACCATCGCCGATATCTGGAGCATCGAGGAGCGCGGCATGGCCATTGCTTACTTTGCTGCTGCGCCATACTGTGGCCCTGTGCTTGGTCCCATCGTGACAGGTTGGATCAACATTGGATCAGGTCGTCTCGACCTCTTCTTCTGGGTGAACCTAGCCTTCGCCGGTGCCATTACAGTCATGATCGGCCTTATTCCGGAGACATATGCTCCAGTTATTCTTAAGCGCCGCGCCGCAAGACTCCGCAAAGAAACCGGAAACCCAAACATCATCACCGAGCAAGAAAAGACGAAGCTCACTTTCCAAGAAATCGCCCGCACAAGTCTGATCCGCCCCATCACTATGATCATGACCGAGCCCGTTCTCGACCTAATGTGCATGTATATCGTTCTAATCTACGCAATGCTCTACGCCTTCTTCTTCGCATACCCAGTGATCTTCCCCAAGCTTTATGGCTACAACGACGGCCAGATCGGACTCATGTTCATCCCCATTCTAATCGGCGCCGCCTTTGCCCTAGTTGTCACTCCAGCCATCGAGGGCAAGTTCAAGAGGATCTGCAGCGAGCGATCTCCAACACCAGAAGACAGACTCCACGCAGCCTTGCTTGGTGCGCCTTTTATCCCGATCGCCTTCTTCATCTTAGGTGCTACCTCCTACAAGCATATCATCTGGGTTGGACCTGCTTCTTCCGGAATTGCCTTTGGCTTTGGCATGGTGTTGTGCTACTATGCAGTTAATAACTATATCATCGACTCGTACCAGAAGTACGCTGCGTCGGCTTTGGCAGCCAAAGTATTCCTGCGCTCTGGTGGCGGTGCAGCTTTCCCGCTGTTCACCACGCAGATGTATGATCGTCTTGGGTTGCAGTGGGCTTCTTGGCTGATGGCTTTCATTGGAGTTGCCATGGTTTTCATTCCGTATATCTTCTACTTCTTTGGGGCAGGACTGCGTGCAAGACTTACCCGGGACTAGGAGTACTGTAGTTGCTGTTGTTGTTTTTTCCTTTTCTTAATCAAAAGGTTAAGGCATTGGGAAGCCTGATATTGGTTGGTGGAAAGACGAAAGTCATGGTGTGGGCATAATTTTGGGGGTCATGAAATAATAGACCTAATGATACATAGAACATCACAATAATAATAATACTAGTTTGAATCAGTTGCAGAATATGGTGCTAGGTGTCGCTTTACTTAAGCGGAATGAATCATTATTAGAGAAGAGTTCGCATAGGGTCATCATCAAAATCAATGAGTGAACTGTTTGCGCACACATTGGCGATCTTAGAGATACTAGGAATTCTCCTGTTTCAAGTGCGACAAGATCATCGATGCACATCCCAAATTTTGGTAAAGCTGAGAGGATCAGACCGGCAATCGTGCGACGAATTGTGGTAAATCACCCTATCCTCCCCTATCGTGCACTCACCTTTCTCATCATCCTGGGCCAACCTTAGAATGCTTCTACTACCACCTCCCCCCAACCCCCCACCAAAAGATAAGACGTCGTCTGTTATCAAAATGGCTATTTGGCCGGACCCCAAACCTTGCACTAACTGTGGATTGATGCAAGAGGGCCATACGCGGAAAAACTGTCCGCATATCGAATGCCTTCGCTGCCACGAGCACGGTCATATGAGTTATGACTGCCCGAACACCGAGTACAGCTACTGCCACAAAATGGGGCACTGCAAATCCACGTGCCGCAAGCTTAAGCGTAAGAATCACGGGCAACAAGGCGACAGAGCATACGAATCCTTCTCCCTCCCCTCGGGTGTACGTTCATCTATGCCACCTTCACGGCGTGTGGGACAATCCCAAAGCACAGTTGACCCCCAGCCCACATTTCCTTTACAGACTACCCAGGAAACTACGATGGTCAGTTCTAAAATGTCCTGCAGGAGGCTTATCTACTAACCCAGAATCAGAATTCTTGGGAGCTAGTCCCAAGTGTTGTTTTCCCGAACCTTCACAACACAATTTGTCATCTGACTTCGAGTCTTGCGACTGATCCTAATGTCTACCTGCAACGGCTTCCATATCATTCTGTGATTACAGGTTATGGAGGTCCACAGAAGATAGCCCAGATGTTGCTGGAGTGGGTTGATCCTCATATTAGGACACTTGAGGGTAGATTCCTTCGGGCAGAGGAGTATGTTAAGCCCCTAGATTGGATATTAAGGTTTCTAACATCTTTAAAGACTTCTTAGTATCCAGGCACGTCAGGATAATTGTTGGAGCCCAAATGGAGGCTACGTGGACATTGTCACAGACTCAAGAAACAACGAATACTGGCGTGCCTATCCTGGTCAGTCTATATCAAAATCCACAATTGGGCAATTCTGCGCGGATCTAGGAGCACCTGCATTATTATGTCATTGCGCAAGGACAAGGGTATCGAGCAGCGAACTGGCTTAAGCTCTGGGAAGTACCAAGGGATACCCAGCTATCATGTACCTCTCGAGCCGTGGCTCTCAATGTCTTAGAAATGACGATGTGTCGCGCTTTTCAATCACCTTCCAGGGAGCAGTTTGGAGGCTTATTATGGGCCAAGTGAGGACGGGGAGCCTTATTCCAATCTCGGGTTGAATATCATTCCTACTGTTCTCCAAGGACTCTCCCTTGGACCTTCAGTGCGCAAATCCTTCTCCCTTGGCTTGGAAATCTCCCTAAATCCCGACATTAATGGGTGGACCCAATTCCGTTACTAGTACGGGAAAAAGGCTGAGAAGTCCAATATCAACTTTCAGCACCCGCTAATGCGATCCTCGGAGTTTCATGTCCGTTTTTAGGACGCAATCCAGCATCTCCAGCTAAGTCAGACTTTTTGTGGCAATGACTCCCTACCACACTCAGCTTTAACCAATTTTGAGCTTTTGAGCCAGTTAAAAGAGGACCTAGAGCCAATCCGCCTTCCCTGGGTCCCGCCTAACGGTAACCTTGAAGCGCTGGTTGGCTTCGCACTGGAATATTTCCTTGATGCAGAATCAGAACATTCGGATAACACAAAGATATCCGTTCCGCGCCAATTTCAGGATAGTGGCTGGAATGTGATGAACTCTGTCACCTGGGCTGCAAACCCTATCAAAAAAGATTTGACTGAAATGACGCAGTTCTTCTGGTCGACCCAGAAGAGTGAGACTGAGTCATTATTCGGTTCAACCAATCAATTATCCAACACAGTGGATTGCGGGTGATTCTTATGTGTGGACATGCAGTGCAGGAACTTGTTCTACCCACAGAGTGCAAGGAGACTCGCCTTAAACTAGAATCTAGGGAGGTTCCTATATTTCTTGAGATTGAAAACGAAGCTATCAGACGCGTCTATGTTCTGATACCGAATCCAATTGATGCATTTCTCCTCCGAGAATGGCGCAAAACTCACAAAATATCCGAGGCGCTTCATTTCACATCAGCTATCACCATGACTGTTGGTATTCGCCCCTACGCTGGTGATAATGGATGTATACTGACAAAGGCCATCCGAGATTACATGGATGAACGGAAAGGAATTCAGGAACATTTAGCGCTTGGAACTCTTCATCCAATGACTCGCCTATGGTTTACACGTAGAGGGTTTGCGAAGGACGAAGACATCTCTCTCTTGCAAGAAAAAGGAGGCGGGAGTCTTAGCAACGCAATCCTCGTCTTGCTGCATGTGACCCCATGTCGTTTTCAAAACGCCCCCATGACGTCCGCTATGAGCTCATTCCGCAGATCAGAGAAACCCCATGCCCCAGAGTTTAAGATTGACAAAGCACAACTTGAAGCTGTTCGGGATCTCTGTTACCAATTGAGTAAGAACCTACCAATTGATTATGACCATCCTAGTGATGGTTTAATCCAGGATGTCAAATCCAGGGAGGAAGATTTGGAAGATGATGTTGGGGAAGCTGATGTTCTTGAAAGAGAAGATCTGGAGACTTCTCGAATATGTGTTGATGACCACGGAACCTTTACGCTTGTGATGGAGACCCCAGTCACTTTATGGGACCGAAAAAAGCCCCGTGCTTGTGCTTCAGATCGAAGCTTCACTATTGAAGGCAAAACCCGAGAAGAACTCTTACAAGGCCATAAATATCTCGGGACTCGGAGAGGACAGGGAATGTTTGTTGTGACAATACATTCATGCATTCAGCTTTTTCGTCGTATTGAGGAGCCTCCACGGGAAGTCATTGTTAAGGCCGAGATTAAGCCACCTAGCCAGCGACATCCACACGTATGGGCGCAAGAAACGCTCGCGACAGATCCAGGGTCACGGTTGGCTTTTCGCATTATGTACACAAGGGGTGACGTGGAAACATCATCCTATGTGACTTCAAATATGGTCAGAGATCTCTGTAAGGCCAACTCATTCGTTCACTGGATGGAGGGGGAAGGTGTTGCAGACATTATCACAAGGCCAAGGCAGTTTGTTGTTGTGAGTTCATTGACCATAACCATCCCCCAAGGTATCTCACAGCCCGGCTCTTTCTATACCAACGACTACGCTACCTTAATCTCTGCCAGAGATTTCAACTTGGGGGAAAAGCGCAAAATAGATGCAGTATGACTAGTAAGTAGTGTTGGCGCCTAGGCCCAGGGTAGTTCATACCTATTTGTCTTATTGCTTGTTGATGAATTTTATCAATTCGGCGATGTCCCAGTTAGATATTACTAGATCTCCCAGAAACTTTACGTGGGGATTTGAGTATCTAACGCAAGTTAGCTTAGTAGGAAAGCAGATCTTCTCAAAGAGCTATCATATACTAGGGGCGTGCATAAGGCAGCACACCATGAAGCTAGGTAATGTTCCACTAGAAAGGTGTAGAGCTGGGCTTTCTTGTAAATATGAAGAGATCCAGGAGATATTTACGAGCGTTGGCCAGTCCGAGAGCATTGTGTTCCCATTTATGATTATACCTTGCAACAGTCTTCGAAATTGTTCGAGGGACCGTATGAAAAGCTAGGCTAAACTCAAGAATACCTATGTTTGCATGAACCACTGATGTTATACAGCAAAAAGCGATAGGTGAGATAGAGCAAATTCCTCGTAGATCTAAGGCTATGCACGAGAAGGCTGCCTGATATCCTGTTTTTACAGCTCGTAAACTGAAGATCTAGCGGTTATCCCTACCGTTATGAGATCTAGACACAGGTCTTAAAGAAGTCGAAATCACAGGGATATTGTGGGGGAGATCACTAGAGGTTCTGGATAAACTGATGAACAATCCATACTTATATAGATGGGAAATTCAGCTGTTGCTGAGTTCAATGGGGGCAATGATCAAGTGAACTTCCGCGATCAAGTTTTGTCCAGGTTGATATAGGCATATTCCGAGACACAGCACATCAACTGCCCGGGTGGTCTAGTGGTATGATTCGCGCTTAGGGTTCACCCAAAGCATTATTGCGCGAGGTCCCCGGTTCAATCCCGGGCTCGGGCCGATTGTTTTTGCTTGATTTGCATTACTTACTAATACAAGAATAATCAGCCTCATCATATATATTTTTAAATATTTCTGCTTTAGTTCGCCTCGTTCGTCGGTTTTATGAGGGTGGGGAAAGGCTTGAGTTGTGAACAACTCTTCTGTGTATAACATACCTTTGATATCTGTTGATTTGACAATCAATATACATGTATATGTACCCTTACGGATGTACGTGTGTTGTCAACGGCTCAGGAAATAGCTGGACCAACAATTGTTCTTGAATTGGAAGGAGATGTCGGTCTACAACTCGGCCAAAAGAGACACTAGCTCATTACGCTAACTAGGTACCGATGATATATCTACGTAGATTAACAGAAACCCACGATATACATATTTCAAATAAATAGATTGAAACGAAAAAATGATAGGCCAGATGCAAATGAAGGATCGGAAAGCCAAAAAACAAGCGGCCCGAGCCCGGGATTGAACCGGGGACCTCGCGCAATAATGCTTTGGGTGAACCCTAAGCGCGAATCATACCACTAGACCACCCGGGCAGTTGATATTCATTTCAAAATTTAACTATACAAGAGGAAGCTCGATATTTCTTGAGCTATATAGGGCGAAAAATACTCAGTACGCTAAGAGGGATAAAGGTGTATGTTGTATATGACCTGGCATTATATTAATCAATTATACAGTAAACCCCCTTATAACGAACGTGGATATAACGAATACCTGAGTTTAACAAAATAAAACCGGTGCTTCAATTGATCCGCCATAGTAATAACGAATTTTTCTCGTTACTACGAATTTTGTTGTTTTATCCTTTCCCATACAAAATTCGTTACAAAGAGGTTTTGTTACGTCATTTTGTATCAATTACTATAAACCCATGAACTGCCTCGCTATTAGATCACGTGATGGTTAACCAATTTCCAATTAAAATACGTCACCTCTCGATCCTTACCCCCTAGAAAAGTGGCTCTCCTAGAGCAGTTAATTAGTGTGCTTGGTAGACACGCAAGAGTAGTAGAAGTGAGGGAATGAAGAGTATAGAAGCAGGATGATATCAGGGACCTTTTTAGGGTATAAGTATTTAAGCCAGAGATACTGTATGATATACATATTATATATGGCAACTGGATTTTACGAAAACCTGGATTTAACGAATTTTTTTGCCCTACGTTAATTGATCCGGCATAACGGGGGTTTATTATATTACTATAATATAGCAAGAAAGAGGGAAGGTAAAAAAGAAAGAACGGCCCGAGCCCGGGATTGAACCGGGGACCTCGCGCAATAATGCTTTGGGTGAACCCTAAGCGCGAATCATACCACTAGACCACCCGGGCAGTTGATACTCATTTCAAAATTTAACTATACAAGAGGAACCTCTTGATTTATAGCATGGATCAGACTCGAGATAAACAAATTCCCATGTACTAGTTATATAGCTTCGTAGTAACTATTAGATTATTATGATTAAATATTTTTATCATTATAAGCATATAACCTGCAACCTATAGCTATCAATAAAATAATTGTTTGTATCGATTCAACACTATTAATAGTTAATGCTAATAACATAAAACCTAAATGAGATATACTTGGTACTATAAGCAAGCAATCTTTTAACTCTAAATTGTGTTAAACCTAATACAGTACCAATTGTTAAAGATAATAACGAACCTATTAATAAACTAGTAGTTTAAGTAGTTATATTGTGTAGTAATATAACTATGCTAATATTATATGAGTAACAATATAAAAATATTTAGAAAAATAACAATATGTTTAAAAAAAAGATGGGCCCGAGCCCGGGATTGAACCGGGGACCTCGCGCAATATTGCTTTGGGTGAACCCTAAGCGCGAATCATACCACTAGACCACCCGGGCAGTTGATGAAAAGGAAGGAAGGAGCCACCATTTTATTTCAAGACAAATTTTGTTCGCTTTCATTTCGCTCTCTCTTTTTTGGTTAGGGGCCCAAGGCTGGAAGGCCTTCGAGACCTTCCTATTTAGGTGTGTAAATACGTATATATTATTTCTCAACCAAGTCGCTAGAATTGGAGAAATACTGTATGGGTTTCAAATAGAAAGTGTTTGACTATATTCCTTACATCGGGTTATTATTCGGGGTATATTTTGAGCTACTATATGGTGGAGCCACGCAATAGAAGGTTTAGCTGGTCTTTGTGGCCTAATATATTACATAGGCTCATATATATGGCAGGTGTCTTAGATAGCAGTGTTGGAGGTGCCCTTCTGGTTGTCTGAGGGATGGGGGAGACAAAGCCCTGGCCCCCGTGGGGGGATAATCCGCTTAACACACTCAAATTCCGATGAGAGCTGGGTTGCAAGGGTTGAATATAAAACCTAGTTCAATGCAATATGCACCTTTTATGTGGGATGTATATATAAAAGGTAGTTCATGTTATATATATATATATCTCTCTCTCTCTCTCTCTCCCACCTCATTTAATCACAGGAGACCGAATTAAGATCAAAACCCCAACATACCAGCCTAAAGGCATGGATATCAGCTCTAAAATGCTCCTGTTGTTATCGAAGTAGAAAAATTTAAGAACCCCTAGTTATAGTAGTGAATAGTGTAAACGGTAAGTGGATGACCACAGTGTCTATTCCCGGTTTGGGTTAGTCTCTCCATGTGATAACTGTAATTTACGGTGACTCATCGAAGATACATCGAAATGCAAGGCTGGCAGAAAGATCCCTTAATATGGACTAGTGCGCTCGAGGTAGGGCCTTGAGAGATAAAGAAAGTGAGAATCGAGGTAAAACTGATTTCGAATATCCCTGTAATCAGGTCTATTATTCTTCTTGGCTATTCTCTGCACCCTCAACGTGCATAACTGGACAAAAAAAAAAATAAAAAAAATGGAGGCATCATGTTGATAAACGATAAAATATAATGGTTAGGACCGAATAATTAGTAGTAGCCTACTAAGAGTTAAAAGGTCAACTCAACCAATGGGCAAGAGAATATTTGCAGTCAGTGATGAAACAATTGATTGTCACAGAAATCTGACTGCAAAAAGAATAAAAAACCAATTAATTCATCTATCTTTCCAATACACGCGGTGAAAGAAGTAAGGTGTTTATTATGTATGATTGGCTAGGAAATAGTTGTTGATCGACTTCATAACCGTCTTGCCACTGGCTATGGCTAATTGCGATATTGATAGGCAATTCTTTTAGTGATCAGTTCTATCAACTTGATGCTACTCAACGCACAACGGCCAGAAGAATTTGAATTAACCATAGATCTGCATACTACATATCGACTGTCGAATGGACTTAATCGTTTTTCTGGGCTTGACTGTACCCTGTCGTCAATTTTTGGGACGTTTGTCCTCTGACTACAATCATTGTGGTACAAGGTGGTGAAATACTGTTTAAAAGTGAGTTCTCAGAAAAGTGTGTGTGAAAGACTGGTAGTTCAACGTCCGGTGGACATCATTCCCACGAGCCTTTTCTCACGTGCGTTTCCTATTAGCCCGGGTGCCCCATGTTGTAGCTCTTAAAATATTTCAACCTGGGATGATGCCTTAGCTTCCAGGCAAGAATAGTCGGAAGTCCCCCGCCTCCATCTACAACCACCCTATTAACATCTTTCCAAAGAGACCCAAATTACCCACAATGAGTGAAATCAAGCTCTTCTACAAAAAAGGCGCCTGCTCGCTGCTTCCTCACATCCTTCTCCACGAAGCGGGCCTTTCATTCACCACCTCCGCTGAGAACAATGTCTCCATGTCGGATGAGCTACTCAGCCTGAACCCCAAGGGCAAGGTGCCCCTCCTCATTGCCAACGGCGAAGTCATCACAGAAAACATCGCTATAATGACCTACATCAACAACCAGGTCCCCGAGAAAAACCTTCTCGGCGCAGCTGGAACCATGGAGCCAATTCGAGTTTACGAATGGTTTTCCTGGATCGGAAGCGCTGTTCACGCGGTTGGATTTGGAGCTTTTTTCCGGCCACAGCGCTTCACAGTCTCTGAAAGTGCGGATGTGCATGCCGGAATCAAAGAGCAGGCGAAGAAGACGTTACTTAGCAGCTTCAATGTGGTTGAGGACCGACTGGACGGCGTCCATGCCGTTGGTCGAAAGTTTACAGCTGCCGATGTTTACTTGCTAGTATTTTGGCGATGGGCACAGTTGACCTTCGGAATGGACTTGAAGGCCGAGTTTCCGAAGTACAGTGCTCTCGCGGAGACTGTGGCGAAGCGAGAGAGTGTTGTAATGGCGATGCAGGAGGAGGGTATTTGACTCCATAGGGTTTCAAGCCTCTATGTAGCGCAAAAAGTAAAATTATTTCCGTGGTGGGGTGAACAAGGTGTTGGACGTTGTCAATGATCAGCCCTTCTTTCTGTTGCCGCTCTTATTGCCGCGTTCTAAAATTTGTATTTCTAAAATTGGCTATAGCTATTCTAGACCCGCTTACTAGGACTCTCATTCCTAGGATCTATAGTATGGCTCCTAGACACGCTCTTGGTCGCTCCTAGGGATCAGACTTAGGGTTCCTAGAGGACACTTTGTTCTTGAGGTGTTTCTGGGATCACTTGATCCGTGCCTAGGAGCGTGCCTGGCGTTCCTGGGCTGTGGTTGGTTCCGGGGAGCTCGATCGGCGTTCCCGGGAACCCCACATCTTGTTCCTGGGATCCATGGGCCCGAGCTAGAGTCTACATCAGGTCGATGATTGGCTTTCAAGGAGATGACTAAACATGCTGTTCTCAATCACAACAAAACCAAAATGGTATCGCAGGACTCGTACCACCTAATATACTATATGTATCAACAAGGGCCAGGAGTGTTTACCACAATAAATGCTTACCCTTGAGTAAATTTCGAATCATCCGGCGTAGCAACCAGCCCTCTTCTTGGAGATCCGTAACTCTACCGTGGGGTGCTTCAAAGCCCCTAAAGATCTAGAAACAGCGTCTCCTGGCCTGTATGGTTCGCTGTCCAAGCTAGATACATCGAGTGACCCGAAGCCAACTATGTAAGAAATCTGTAGAATCATGTCCAGGCAGGTCCTAGGCCTGGGGGTGTGCGTCTGTGGTTGGGGAGCTGCGACCGCAAGGCCTTGGTTCTAGGCTCCGTGATCCAGAACAGTTGACTCTAGACCAATTACCGACAGCCGTAGACGCAGGTCCACATTGGACGTACGTCCACGGCTCCTAGTCCATAAGGGTCCTCGGTCTTGTGACTACAGTCTATATGGGTCATAGGTATTTTGATCTAGATCTCAAGTACATTATTCATCGCCTACTACCGGCGTTTGGTCGGCCGATCATAATCACTATCAGCTTCGAGTGCTTGTGTGATCGAATCCGCCGCCTCTTCACTCACAACCAGATCGTCGCCGAATATTATAAATATCGTGTTAGTGCTATCCTCGATCGCCGTATCGAAGGCCACTACGGGGACCACCCTTTAGCCGATAAGCCAATGACACTAGCCCTCACTGGGACTACGTGGGTATCTGGCTGAGAACCGTTATACGTATTCCCTGGTCGCCTCTAGACTATCTAGACACTGGATTAAGCCTATAATGATTGGACTAGTACCAAGAGCTAGCTTATATGACGTTTTCCCTTCTATGTCGCCGGGGTTCTTCTATGGGACGTACTGTGACTAATTTCTTAAGAGGATTCTCCTATAAGTAGAGACCTCTCTTAAGAGGTCTCTTATCCTGGGCCTTCCAAGCGACCCTCACTCTTGGATTGAGCTAGCTGAAAATAATCTGTTATCAACCTCCTTTCATATTACCACTTCTAGGATACTCTACATAGCTCTATCATAGTGACAAACGTAGTGACAAAAGCAGTCTCTTATCCCAGTACAACTCCTATTAGATTTCTCTCGGGATGCTATACGTCTTATCTATAGTACGCTCTTATTTCAAGCCATATAGGTCTACGCATATCCTAAGAGGGGTATCTTATAAGCGCTTAGGATCCCTTCTAAGTAAATTCTAATAATCCGAGAGGATCGAAGCCCCAGTTTAGCCTGTATTTGTTGTCAGAAGGCCACCAAGGTTATTAGATTAGAGACTCAAATCTTAGGCCATCATAAGAATATACATGAAGGCTGATGATATGTGACCTGAAATTGAAGTCTCTTTATATAGGACTACGTACTAGTGCTCGGTAGTACCGGCCCGAGGGCGGTAGACTCAGATCCAGAGACCGAGTAGATTCCAAGTCCGCGGTCTCAAGACCTGCCAGGCCGTTAGAATGTTAGCTTATACCCCCTACAATTTTACGACCCACTAAACCATAAGTCTCAGAGCTAAAGACGCCTAGTAACTCGAGACTAGCTCAAAACTTGACTACGTTATTCTATCATCAGCATCAGTTGCTGCCCTTCCCTAAGCGTCCGTTTTCATCATCTCGGCCACCGCAGCCACTTTGGCTCCTGTCACTACGAGATCCTGTTGTAGGCTCATCAGGACGGTTTTCGATCCATCATCTATCGCGGCTCAGGCACATTAAGCAGCGCTGACAAGTCGAAGGTTTTTGTTATAGAAGCGTGCATGTTTGTTGTCCTTGTGGGCATACTTGTGGGATCTTGAACAGATTATCAATCTTAGATATACAAATCAGAATGCGGGCAATTTGACTGATTCCTTTACATAATATGAATATAGTGATTTATCTTCACGTTTACCTCAATACAGAAATATGATCGTTACACCTGTTGCAGGATTGCCCCCATGACTAGATCAATCAATCGATCTAGCCTATCATAAGAAATACCACGGTTTAAGCGCAAATAGATATTCCCACAAAACAACTGAGCGTAGGATTATATCCATCGTAGGACCTAGGATGTAGACTTTCTAACAATCATTATAAACGTGCGAGTAGTCTAGAAGTAACGAGGAACCGTGGTCTTTCGTGGGATATAGGATTTCTAGCGATTATCATAATCGTGTGGCTAGTCTAGGGGCAACGGGGAAACGTGGTACTTCCCGAGATTTAAAATTTCCAGGCCATCGCATTTGCATAGAAGGCTTAGGAGTAAGCTAAGGTCTCACTTTGCAGATACCCGCTTAAATGACCAACTAAATATACCATACGGCTTGTTACATCCGTAGAATTTGAATCTTTACTATCATCCCAGTGGTTCATAGCAAACGCTCTATTGCGGGGCTTCTTATTCAATGCTAGGGCTTCGATCGCCCGGTCAAACCATAGAATAGCTTCAAGTTAAATAAACGTCAAAATCTATAGGTAATCGATCGCTACTGCCGTTTTTCCTATAGAATTTGAGCCTTTGGGTATATTGATCCAGCCTGCTATTTACTATGGTATTCACAATGGGAATAAGCGCTTGACTGGGTGAATTTTGACCCTATATTGATAATTCTAGTATTTTAATATTTCTACTAAATAAGAATTGCGTTTTGCTATTTGGATCCCTTTTTCGGCCGCAGGTGAGGCCGAAAATTGCCGTCTTTCAGCTAGTTGCCTCTTACGCGCCTAGCCCAAATAAAACAGCCGGGCAAAGTACAGGACTAAAATCATATCTATGCACTTTGACGCTGTGCTACGGTACTACCGGCAAGTGTCGTTACCGCATTTCATAAACAGACGGCATATCAGATATTCGAATAGATATGGTGATGAAATGAGAGTGATCATAAGATAAGTAGGCAATCCAGTATATGAGGGTTGTGTAGAAATCTTACAGCCTAAGGAACGCTTCGTCATAAAAGCCAATCTTGACGAAAAAGCGCTCTAGAGTCGGTAAATCACGACGGTTGACGTTTGGTACTTTCTGGGCCGATGCCACGGAGTGATCGGAGGGGTTTTTGGGATCCATCCTGAGCCCTTGGGACTTGTAGAGAAGTTGGAGAAGAGGTTTCCCTCTTGTAAGCAAAGTCCGAAACTTTAAATATCAACTGCCCGGGTGGTCTAGTGGTATGATTCGCGCTTAGGGTTCACCCAAAGCATTATTGCGCGAGGTCCCCGGTTCAATCCCGGGCTCGGGCCGTTTCCTTTTTTTACCTCCTCTCTTCCTTATTTATTATAGCAATATAACCGTGCCAAGCCCACAAATGCCTACCTGGCATTGGTGGGCCTCACAAGATTACAATTTTTCACAAGATTATAAATTTCAAGATTAAGTATCTTTTATATTGCTACTCTATACAAAAGGTACATAAACACAACATAAGTATCATATCAATTTTCTCAACCATTAAAGTGGTTAGAGGATATAAAATGATATTCATATATCATAAATAAAGTTCTTATTTTATGCCATCAATCTTAGTAGGAAATCTTGAATGCGTGAAGTAGAAAAACAGTTAAACGTTCTCATCCGATATTCTTATATAGCTTTTTCAAAAAAGGCCCTTATGCCTCTATATTATATATTCAGCATTAATATACCCAATTAATGATTTAAACTAGACTTATAGTACAAGTTAACGTTTTTATTTTTCCTTTAGCTATTATAAGGGTTGAATTGTGGTCAAATTGGATTTATGTACCCTTTGTATAGAACAGCCATATAAAAGATACTTAATCTTGAAATTTATAATCTTGTGAAAAATTGTAATCTTGTGAGGCCCACCAATGCCAGGTAGGCATTTGTGGGCTTGGCACGGTTATTGGTCAATATAATGCCTAGTCATAGCATATTTATCCCTCTTAGCGTACAGAGTACAGTGACTGTTCATAAGTTTTAACACCACCTTTAGCCCCACTCATATACCGCCTTCCTTTATCGCCTATATCGCCTATATCAAATGAACTGGTGGACCTCATTTATCTCGAGTTCATGTCGTGTTTTCGGATGTTTTGAAACATCCTCATAAGACTATACTTACCCTTGTGTAGAAAATCATTGAAAGCTACGGACATTGATATACAACGGTATTGAAGGAAACTTTTTGACCGGCAGAGTATTATATAATCAAAGTGGTGTGGGGCTAGGGTGTTAAAATTTATGAATAGTCACTGTAATTTCCGCCCTAATTCAAACAGAATCGAGCTAATATACGAGGAAATAGATAGCTTCCTCTTGTATAGATAAATTTTGAAATGAGTATCAACTGCCCGGGTGGTCTAGTGGTATGATTCGCGCTTAGGGTTCACCCAAAGCAATATTGCGCGAGGTCCCCGGTTCAATCCCGGGCTCGGGCCGTTCTCTTTTTTTACATATTTTTTAATAATATTACTCATATACTTATTAACATACTACGAAGCTATATAATACCCAGCAGCTTATCCATCTACGTGTGAATTTTAGACCTACGCATTTAAAGATGAAAGTTAATGTAAAACTTTAATAGAATAAAGTTGTTAAGAGGTCATATGACCTCTAATTTTTTTCTCTCTCTCTTTCTTCACTAATGTAAAGTAATATGATATAATTAATATATTGCTAGGATTTGCGACATCCCCATGCACAAATCATACTGATAGATACAAGAAAGAAAGTAGAAACAAAGGAAGGAAAAAAGACAATTAATATCAAACATATATAGACACCGGATGGTATTACTGCAGTTGTAGCAGCTATCCTGCTTTCGTTATCCATGTCACACATAGAAGACTTCTCTGTGGTTTGAAATTTACCGACTTATATTGTGGTAGTGTAATAAGCCCGGCAGTCTACCTCATGCTGCTATAACATACCTATGTCTCTATTTCGCTCACTACTAAAAGCAAGAAAATACCCATAATTTTGAAGCACTTTCTGGCCTCACGATCCTTCTAGGAGAGATAAGGGAAAAACAGAGCTTCGTTGTCATCCTATAGGAACCTCCAGTATAAACAAGCGGATGGGTTCATTCATTGTGTGCTATCATTTTCAAGATCTCCGCGAAAATACTGATGCCTCGAGGAAAGACATATTCATTTCTCCGAGGACATCAATCACATACCTAACAGTTACAAGGTAAGTACAATATCGGAAGTCGGCAAGATAAAGCCATTCTTTTTGGAACAATAGTCCCTCAGCACCCACCCCGAAAGAGTTGTTTGCTTTGCTCTAACATGTCTCTACCTATCGAATCATTTGGTTCGCTCCCCATCTGTTACCGTACTACGTAGGACTGAAGACGACGGAGTTTTGGAACACCGACCTCACTGTGTTACTAAGGAATCTAGAATATATATCAACTCCCCGGTAATAGTTTCTTGATTCCATCTCAGAAACTACTACCCCGAAGCACATAATGGAATCACCCGAAATATTATCCGGTTCTTTTCTCATTAGTTCCTGGCTGGTATGCATTCTTGGTGTTGTCCTTCTGGTAGGTGCAACAAAATCCCCTCATATGGGACTGTTACTCATGTGATATGTAGAACACCATCTATCGCAGACTCACAAATCCGCTGTCTCATATACCTGGGCCCGAGATATCGAAATGGACAGAAGCCATTTATACATACAACTGGTTAAATGGAAAGATACCTATGTATGTTCATCAGCTTCATGAAAAATACGGTATGTGTTGCAGGTAGTTAGTGTTATTAAATAAAAACCCCTCCCCTAATCTTGAATTAGGCCCCATTGTACGAATCAACCCAGATCAGGTCGATATCTGCGACACAAGCGCCATGAAGGAGATCCACAAAACTAATAGCCGCTTTTCTAAAACTGTCTTCTATCGCAAGATATCCATAGGCGATGTGCCCACCACATTTTCAACCACCGACAGAGACTTCCATACTCACCACCGGCGTCTTTTGGCATCACCTATCTCTGACTCTTCGTTGACTCGCCTTGAGCCAATAATATCCAGTCGTGTCCGTATAGCTGTCGACAAAATTACAATGGACCTCACGGATCGTGGCGTTACCGATGTGTTTAAATGGTGGCTATTTATGGCCACAGACATCATTGGTGAACTCACATTTGGAGATTCATTTCGAATGCTTGAGATTGGAAAGGTGTGTGGAGGACCTGAGCTTGACAAAATCCTATCTATGCTAATACATACTACAGAAAAATCAATACAGCCTTGATATGGAAAGACTGATACCCCTACAGCCCTTTCGAACAACGTTCCCGGTTCTGGTGAAGATTGCAAGATACATCCCCGTACCGATTATTAAGAACGCAGCGAAATCAGAGGACAGACTCAAGACGTATGCCATCCAGTCTGTCGATCGTTACAAAAAACTTATCTCTCAAAACCCATCCAATCCAAAGCCAACCCTGTTCACAAAACTTTTCGATGAAAAGAATGGCATGTCGTATTCGGAAATTATACAAGAGGCTCAGGGATACATTGTTGCAGGAAGCGATACCACAGCTGTCACATTGACATATCTTACATATGCCGTGTGTCGAGACAGCCAAGTGAGAGAGAAGCTTGTTGCCGAGTTGGCTGGTATTCCTGAGCCTGTCAAGGACAAAAGCCTCCGAGACCTACCATACCTCAATCAGATTATCAACGAGACGTTGCGATTGTATACGGCCGTTCCGTTTGGTCTGCCTCGACTAGTGCCACCCGAAGGTGCTCAGTTCAACGGGTATCATGTGCCAGGAGGAATCACGGTCTCAACCCAGGCTTATAGTCTCCATCGTGACCATGCTATCTTCCCAGACCCGGATAAGTGAGTCACCTTACCTTTGATGATGTCGACATTGGGAAGTTAAATAACATGAATAGCTTCAATCCCGAGAGGTGGGAAAATCCAACGAAAGCAATGAAAGATGCTTTTTTTCCATTTGGTGGTGGATCAAGGAGTAAGTCCTTTGTTATTATCCACGGGTTGAGTCATCAATATGGCTAATCCTTATAGTTTGTTTGGGTATGCACCTAGCTCGAATGGAGCTTCGTCTAGCTACAGCGCTTTTCTTCCGAGCCTTGCCCAATGCTCGACCTTCCACAAAAGAAGGGATGTCAGCCAGCGAGATGGAGATGCAATGCTTTTTTTTAATGGCGCCGCAAGGCCATCGTTGTATTATCGAGACATGATATCTGTTCAGCGTGGCCTTGGAATCTTTGCAAATGTCAATCCCCGCAATCACAGCAGTGTGCTTCTTTTTTTCATTTTTTTTTTTTCATGGAGCCGATCTGCAGAGAAACTTGTTGTTCAAGTGTGAAATTGGTACTAGTATGGCTTCCAAGTTTGGTAAATCTATTCATAGCAACATTTCGTTCCCTAGAGAATGCTTCCTTCTAGGATCTATCTCTTAATATGATTTATGACTGCCAATTACCATATTAATTGTGAAGTTTGTATTCCATAGGCCAAATGGGAGGTATGGCTCGCAATGTTGCCTCGGACATAATTTCCGTGTAGAGCCTAGAACGGAATATAACTAATTACTCAGGTTTCTCACCACAACTTTGCTATTGGATGTCCACTGACTATACTTTCGTTAAATTCTTCCGGAGATTATAAATTACAGGACATGCACCAGGACGCACTAAACTACGTACAAAGTTACTCCACACTAAATTTCAGTTTCAGCCCTCAGCCACCTCATTGGCTCATCGGAGTCCCGCAAATTTGAACCGTATCTGGGAAACTCAGAATATCTCGACACAATACGGCAATGTCGCTCGATATGCGTTGGTCCCCATCTTATCTCCGCTATAGTGGCTCCCAGACATCGCCTTTTAGATATGTACTGAAAATTTATGCAGAATTGCTATTGTATATTCGTGATTCCCCCCTCTTGTTAGAGTATGATAAGGCACTGGGAAGAGACGCTATTGCAACATCGTCCTGCGAATATATTGAGATAGGTCACTGAATGATGAATGAAACGTCGTAGAGGAAAGAAGAGACCGATAGCTGGAAAATCTTTTGAGCCGCACCGACTTCGGAAAAAGCACTCTATTCCCTGTTGAGGGGAGTTGCTTTCGTAGCCAACTGATGTAGATTATGATTGTGACCGCCTACTATCTACCGAAGGTGTGTGGAGTCAAGTTACCACAAAGTTTCCACTTCTTTTCTCTGCTTTCCCTGTCATTTCCCCCATGTCAGACCACACTCCACTGCCTTCGATGTTGTAAACAACTTACTTATCTGCTTCGCCTGGTCATTTGTAGATTAACATAAGGATTTAAATTTACATGCCACCGTGAATATATGTAGCCAATAGCACCATTGGGGGTTTTTTTTAACTCTTACGCTTTATCATCAAAGTGTCTAATAATAAATTGAAAACGGCCCCCAACTCACTCCAAACCTTTTGTATGCACTAGTAATAGGACACGGCCCTCGCTTCCTTCAGCGTCTAACAGAAGTCAGATTGGTACAAAGTTTCATACCTTAGAACAGCTTAATATAAGCACCAAACGCCCCGGTTCAGCCCCTGTTGTTTCCAAACTTTCAAAGACCTTACTTTGACCCTCTTCTTACTAGTTTCTCTATATCTTCAATTGATCCACTGTCACTCTTCCTTCTCAAAGTTATACGCGACAGATCCGATGTCGGATATGTTAAGTAGCCCATATGGGCTCTCCGTCCGCAGAAACGGCTCCTGTCTCGCCACCGAAACAGATTGCGGCCAAACCTGGTCACCCTTCCATGCCTGTTGCCCTGGGGGCACGAAATGCCCAGCCGGCCAATCAAATGTGAAATGCTGCCCATCAGACGCAGACTGCTCCGAGTTACTTGATGACAAACATTGCGCAAACAGCACTGCAAATGTCTATAAGGCCAATGATTACTTCTGCTGCGCTTCTGGCACACAGGCTTTTCAGAAAAAGAATGGCTTTGTCGGCTGCACCGATGATACATCCACCTTGGACAGTAGTTTGACTCTCTTGAAAATCCAGTATCATGGTATGTAATGATTTGCCGGCCTGAGCCTTTATTACAGAGTCATAGACTGGGTGAACTGAAACCCTAACCACCCGTCTACAGGCATCACCTCAACAACCTTGCCGTCATCGACAATATCTAGTGCAATTTCCAGCGCCACAACCACTACCACTACTTCAGATGCCACCGATCCCACAATCGCGTCGGATAATTCGTCTTCGTCGTCGTCCAATACCGGAGCCATTGCTGGAGGTGTTGTTGGTGGAGTAGCTGGTTTGGCCATCCTGGCTGGTCTACTATGGTTCCTACTCCGTCGCCGAAACCAGGCAAAGAAGAACATAGGAACACCTGTAGACCCAAACCCTCTAATGTCCAATGCTCCCGAATCGAGGTTCCCCGAACCAAGTACCCCTGCATCGAGTGTTCCTGTTTCGAGTATTCCCGTTTCAAGCGTCACCGGATCGAGCGCTCCCGGATCGAACATTGTTGAGTACTTCAATAAGGCCCCCGAAAGCGTTGTGTCCCAACCACCGCAAGAGCTTGCTGGTCGAGACGAAAATATGGTCCATGAGTTACCGTCACAGCCGACACATCGGTGATAGAGTGCATGGTGTTTAGGCGGAGGAAATACCCGAGAGAATGCTCTCATACTCTCTCACCTCTTTTATGTTATGAATATGTAATATAATAGACTATTTCGAATTCAGCGCATGTCAAGATAAGATCGCACTTCTGCGATATCACCCAACATCGCTTTTATATCAAAACTCGGATCCGAGATATAGAAAACCAAAAGCCGTCCGCTGGTTCTTACATCTCACTGTCAACATAGCTTCCGGCCGCGGCTAACGTGGCATAGTAAAGGTTTGTTTCAGCGCAGATAACCATTCTGCCCTCTCCAGCGAAGTTGAAATTCGCCGTACCAGATCCAAGATAGATCTTCCCGATGAGCTTGCCAGATGGATTCCAGACATGCACACCATCGCCACAGCCAGCATATACGTTACCCCATGAGTCGCAGTGGATGCCTTTTCAAGAAATTAGCCTCAAGAACACTAAGTGCAGCTTGCTTGACTTACCGTCAGGAGCACCAGAGTGAACAAAGGCAAAAGTCTTGCGATTGTCGAGTGTGCCATCGTCTTTCACGTCAAATCGGTAGCTGTGACCCACAGTCTGTAATTAGTTTCAAATCCAGACAAGAGAACCTTAGAAACCATAGCACATACACAGAAGCAGGGCGGGTGAAGTTGAGACCGAAGAAGCCGCTATCGATTCCGGTATCGGAGACATAAGCGTACTTGCCATCCGGGGAGAAAGTGAAGCCTGTTACGACGTCAGTTGCATTTTTCTTTTTTAGCCTGTACGCATTCTTGATCCCCTACCGTTGGGGTGGTCAAACCCATCCGCCACAACTGTAACGGCACCTGTATCGGGGTTGAATCGGTAGACTTGATCCTGCAGACCGGGCGCAGGGCGGAAGTCCTGCGCATAGCCGTAGATAGTGTCTGTGAAGTAGATGTCTTTGCTTTTCGGGTGAATGGCGACATCGTTCAGGGAGTTGAATTGGCGGCCGAAGTAGTTGTTAAGGATGACTATAAATCACTTTGTTAACCCCCGAAAGGCAAAGAGGTGGTTTGCACTAACCGGTAGCATTGAATGGACTCTTCGGGTTCATAACCCACAAAGCAGGCGGTTTATTGTCACCTTGACCCTCACCGGCGAATACAATTTGTCCACGGTAATTGGTACCACCTGAAGCACAGTCAGTCGTCTTTAACCTCCAAAGAAAAGAGCTGATTGCCCACCGTTGGGATTGAGAACCGTTGGCGATGAAGGAACGGTGGTCACATTAACAAGGCCCGCAGCATCCGACTTGTGCGAAACAGCAGCAGCGTCCGCAAGAGAAATCTTTTCAATGATAGCTGACTTCTTAAGACCGGTGCTGGCATTCTTAGCGCCTGCATTTTGGACAAAAAACACCTCGTCAGTTTCCTTGACCCTAGAAGCTAAAGTCAGATTTCATTTACACTTGGCTTGTACTTGATCTGCGTATTGCGTGTTGGATACTTACCATACAACCGCCTCATGGAATATAGGGTCCTTTGGGGAGTGTGCAATCCGGGTTAGAGTTGGGGCGTCTCCGATGATCTTCAGAAATTCCTCATCGTACACATGGAAAGGCTGCTGGGCTAGACTATCTCCTGTCGACCCTGGGGGTATAAATAGCTATGTATTTATCAGTAAGGGGTGTTACCGGAGACCGGAAATAAGGAATCGCATACACTCTTCGCATTGAATTCGGAAGGAGGCTGAGTCGTCGCCAGAACATTGAAGGCTTTTTGGTCAATCACCTGCGCTTGAGCAGGAATCTTGCTCGAGCTGACTGGTGCTAGGAATGATCCTAGGAGCAGCAGCGTAGCCAGCGAGGAAAGTTGAGAAGTCATCTTTGAGACGGTGCCGGGTATGTAGAACAATCCAAGGAAGGGGAAACTAGGCATTTATCTCAGGGGCTGGGGGAGTGGGGCATAGACCACCCATGCCTTTTTATTCAGAAACAATATCCAGTAATTCTCCGGATCTTCAGTCAAAGCTATGGCGTGTGTCGATTCTCGGAGTTGGCCCGATAATTGATCGGCCCGTTCGCCGCTTATTGACGTCAGTGCCGGAGCATGCTTGTCGGCTTTCTGCAACACTCCAAGGTTAAATTGTAGTTAAATTGTAGTTAAATTGTAGGTTAAGTTGTAGGTTAATGTGGAATTATATAGTGTTCTGATAATTAACTGCTGAATTGTGAATAAGATGTTGGTGGTCGGACGGATGCCAGAATAAATAACTCCGACATGTGCAAAGGGGCAGAGCGGCTAAAGGTCAAATGCCTGATCTTGTAGGGATGATGCCTCGATATGCCTGAATTATGCCGTATTTTACATAGACTGGCAGAAATCAAAATAGTTACCTGAATTATAACAGATCACCCGTGGGCCTAGGTAGTTCATGAGAATGAAGCTATTCCTACCATAAATCACCGTAAGCGCCTATTTCTAGGAGTTGAAGCTATTGCGACCGACCAATCTGTCGAAATTAATATAAGGAGGTATTTTGCGTGGTTCGGGATGGTTTTCGATGTTAGAGATTCGAAGAAACTGATGATTTGTGGGGTGGGAATAGCTTCAATTTTGAGGAATATAGAGATTTCAAAGTCTCTTACACAAAGTGTGCTTTTTTTTATCACCTTTGTATACATCTAAAAGACTAGCCGAAAATATATCTAAACACATCACCTGAAAAGACATCACATGGCCGTATAACCAGCCAACTATTCTTATACATGGTATGTATAACTAGGAATAGCTTCAATTTACAGTATATACGGTATAGAGCGGTGTCGAAAACAGTCTATAATTCAGGCATATCAAAGCATCTGATCTTTGGCCGCTCTGCCCCTTCGCAGGCATGTTTACCCATCCAGGACCAATGCTCCTTCTTCCTTGCCATTATCTATGTTTGTATTCCCCAAGGTTTTCCCTGGTGCTTTAGATCGGGCCGCATGTCAGTTACTACCCGAACTTTGCCAAGTAGCTCAACACCCGAAGTTACCCCCTTCGGATGTGAATGGGGTTACTTGGCAAGGGCCAGGCAGCCAGTCAGTCAAGGGGCCCCCCACCTTTTGACGCCATATATCCATATGTTCCATATGTAAATAAGACCTGCTATCTGGAACTGTGCCTGCATGAGTGTGGAATTTACATAAATTCCACCCAAGGACTTAGCGGACTTAGCGGATTAGGGATAGGCAAAAGCTTTTCTCTCACGATACAATAATGCATCTTGTTCCGTCTGGTCATTTCTTTTATTTCGTGAGAATCGGACATGTTGACTTGAATGCACTTGACTTTCCAGAAAATCCAGGGTCCCTCGCCTATTACTCATGGAGTGTATCACTGTGTTACGTGAAATATAATCCCCATCTTATATAAGTTGTACTTGGTGTTTCCTCGAGATGTAACTACACAACGTACACATCCCTGTAACCCGCTGTATCTTTAGCCGAGTGGTTAGATGATCTTATGTAATCACACAGGTGCACCTGGGCAGCGGCCTGCGTTCCCGTCTGATTACAACATTCATCCTTGACATTGGGCGATCACGTGGAAGTAAACCTGCGGTCGAGATGATGACGCACGATGGTGGTGTTTGCACGTGATATCATCGTATAATTAATGCCTGATAAAACAGGCACCAAAGCACCAAACTTCACTCTTCTTACTCAGTGTGACTATTATTCTATCTTTGCATGGATTTTTTCAATGGATATAGTGAACTGATTTCCTAGCATATGGTAAACGCCTTGTGGTTATTGCGATAGGCGAGAGACGCCGGGAACAAGACAAAGGCGCAATAGTCAAACCTCACCAGCGTAATTGCAATAGATACTGTATCCCTGGTTATACATAGAAAATTTCTCTGTATGATTTATGCCCTCTACTGCCTTTGTATGTAGTACACATTAGAGTCTCCTTGGCACTACTATTCATTATTCTCCTAGAAGGTTATAATACCGACAAAGAAAATCCCGAAAAAGGCATCTAGAAAATTTTTATTAAAAAAAAAAAACTCCGAAAATATCGAAAAAATGGCGTCTGAGTTATCTCACGTAGAATGTCCCTTATACCACTCTGAGCCAGATAAGTCAAATTGGTAAAGTCCTGCTTCGAAAATTAAGGACAAAGGCCGCATACGCGGCCGACTACTCTACTCTAGTTTTGAAAGTAGGGAAAGCGTCTACTAATCTAAGTTTTCAAGGAGCATTACAGAGCCTAGCCAACTTCTTCCTAGACCCTTCTGGACCATTTACATGCCTAGACTTGTCTTTTGTCTCAAAAACCCACAATTTTGGCCAAGTCTCACAATGATGATCAGGGTTTTTGTTCTGTGTAGCGTCTAAACTTAATTTTCGACCGTTTAAGCCAAGAAAGGCTCAATCTTTGTTCTAAATACCAGAAACAATGAACCACACACCATGCCATGGCCTGTTTCCGCACTGGGGCGATTGCAATATCCATCCTGATATCTCTTCCAAGGTTCACTCGTCAAACACTGAGGTATTTGTTGCCCCGAATTCGCATCTCCTTGGGTTAGGGCTGGGAGGTGGCGCTTCAGTGGAACACTGGAATAACAGAAAGAACCAAACGATCCACCTAGGGAAATCTAACCCGCTGGAGGTTGGTGGGGTTCTAAGATATTTAGCGTATGACTTGCATGTGAAGCAGGAGCCAAGCCTGAAGTGCGGCTTTTCCCAAAAGAAATTGAACAGTTTTTGAAGAAACTTCGAGGAACAAAGTAGCAAACCATGGATTGTGAAAGGGGTTAATGGTGATTGGTTACAATACAATCCATGCCCTGCCAAGACTGTAAAGTCTACTGTGATTGGACAAATTAGCCATAATTTTAGCCAATCATATTACTTTTCTCCTGGACCACCACGTCAGCGTCCACGGATCACACAAACGCTGCGAAATTCATCAACAATCAACTTCGGAGAGCTCCCGGAAGTGATAGGATGCTCCTAGTATGAAGTAGTGAAGCGTTCAAGGCCAAATTGTTATTGTGCAGCTCGATCATGCATCTTGAGAATGCAGCGGCCACAGTCATAATCATCCTGGATCTGAGTTCCTGATAGTTCCGTTGCCTTTAGCCCCAGACTAAAACGATCTGATCCCTGCTGGGTCCACACTAGGGCATTCTTTGAAGTTGGACCCAGAGAATGCGATTTGTAACCTTTCAGTTCTCAGATCGGTAGTCATCCTTGTCGAATGGTCCACTTTGAGGTTCCCTTCCTAGTTTGTGCACTCCTGACTGTTCTCATATCTGGTTTGTTTCCAAGGTTTCTCTGCATTCTGGAAGAGTGATATATCTCTCTTAATTGAGAATGCGGAGAATAGGTAACCTTGGGAAGGGCCTTCCCCTACGTGGTCTTATTCCGAGCTTACTCCGTCTCCATCCATGGATCTATAGACCAAGTATCCATGGATATAGAGAATGACTAACCCATACTTTGATGGGTCTGCCAATGAGAAATGCCCTGGATTATCTAAAATTCTAGATTTACTGGTGGGTTGTATCTATACAGTGGACCCAATAATATTACGTGCATCTACTATTTGACCCATCGACCGGATCCAACTCCATTTCACCTCCAACGGTGACTACCTAGGTACATATCGAAACCATGGCCTCGACCTCTGTGGAACCCATGGCATACGATTCCTTTCAACGGTTTGACGTATGCCCAGGTGTGTACCCCCCCAATAGTTCTCTTTGATGGAGCCAGGTACCCGGAACTTTCGGTTCATCTTTTGCTCTCGGCTTACGAGGCAAGCGTGGCGGAAGAAGCAGATTCTGTCGATTTCGAGGGTATATATAGCTGTCCTTATTCCATCTGTCTGTTCTCTTTCTTCAATCAACCACACTCCTTTTGGTACCACCGTTCATTCATTCATTTACAACACTGTCTTTTGAATTCAACCAGGACTCAATAAACACTCATTCATATCTTCATTGATAGTTTACCTTCTTTTGTGACTCCACATCCCAAAACAATCTATCAATATGCAATTCGCCAAGTCTCTCATGCTGCTCGCAGCCCTCACCACCGGTACCCTGGCCAGACCCGCCTTCGAGCGCCGCCAGGCCACCTCAGGCACCAGCGACAGTAGCTGGACCGCCACGCCCTCCGATGGCTCATACTCCACCGCTGGATTCGGCAGCTCCACCAGCTCATCAGGCTCAGGCGAAACATACTCCGGCAACGTCGGCAACCCCTACGGTAGCAACATCATCTCCGTTGACGCCTCGTCCGCCAGCAACTACAAGTACGTTGCGCAGTTCACAGGCTCGAACACCGAGGACTGGACCGTTGCCATCTTCAACAAGTACGGCCCTGATGGCAAGATGACAGGCTGGTTCGGCAACGCCTGTAACACTTTCACTCTTGCCGCCGGCGAGACCAAGTACATTGCCTTCGACGAGGACACCAATGGTGGCTGGGCCGCCGCCTCCGGCTCCACCATCCCCACCGATACTATGGGTGGCTACGCTTCCACCTGGGGTGAGTTCGACTTCGGCTCCACTACCAACAATGGCTGGTCTGGATTTGATGTGTCGGTTATTTCTGCTCAGAATGCTGGCATGTCCATCTCTGGTATGAAGATCTGTGATGCCCTTGGCTCTGTTTGCTCTTCTGTCACCGAGAATGCCGGTACTGTCGATAACGCTTACACCTCCGCTGAGACTGATGTCGGTGGTATTGGTGCTAACTTGGCCTCTGGTCCCGTTCGTCTGGCTGTTACCATTGATTACAGCGGTTAAAATTTTATTTCGTTTGAGATTTGATTTTATATGATTTTAAAGATAGCCTCTTGGATCATTCTGTTTCGGAGGCTGGTCTATATCCAGCTGGAATGGTTTCTGCTTCTGTGTCAATATAGAAACTTCTAGGCTGGTCCTTTTTTTGTTATACAATATAACACATTATTTCAAATGCTTCTTGTCCATGTAGAACTATGGACGTATTTTTCCTTGGTGGCCTTTGGGGGTTTCAGATGTCCGCGTGGCGTTAAACATACGCAATCGCGCAATCGCCCACTACGTAGCCACCACGTAATGAGCCCATCTTCAGGAACTACCTAGATAATACTCATGTTTCAGATTTAATGATAGAAATAAGAATAAAAATAAAGATAGGATTAAGCTTCTTCCATTTTTAGATTCATTCATTATAACGTTGGAGTATATCAACAAATTCATTGACTTCATGTCCGCTGACCCAATCTCATCAACCCCCCAAAAATCAATCTTAAAATTACTTTCGCGGACTAACAAGACCGTAGAACTCAAGCGGCTTGATACTGAATGCACCGTTCGACTCAAGCTTATACGTGGGGTCCGCGAGTTCAAATGTGTTCTCCTTAATAATGCTGGCGAGAGTAAAGAACGACCACCGCCAAGCCCAGAGCTTGCCAATGCATTCACGCTTGCCATTACCGAAACCCTTCTTCGCGGCGGCAGGGAGTTGATCCCACTTCTCTCCGAAAACACGCTCAGGCTTGAAGGCCTCGGGGTCCTCGAAGACAGCTGGGTCGCGGTTGACCTGACTCAAGACCGCAATCATAGGTTGATTGTGGGCAATTTGATACTTGCCACCGGCAAGAAGAATAGGGCTCTTATCGTCGGAGGGAATGGGCTCAATGTTGAAGCCTGGCGCGGTGGCACAAAGACGGATCGATTCGCGCAGAATGGCTTCGACGTAATTAAGGCTCTGAAGGTGCTCCAGGTCGATATTACCGTCGCCGACCACCCGGTCAATCTCCTCCTGCGCCTTGGTGATCTCGCTCGGGTTCTCCATCAGGTAGTACAGGGCGTAGGAGACGAGATTGGGTGCTGTAGCAGCACCAATGAAGATCGAGATGATCTCATCGATAACCTGCGACTCGGTGAGCTTCTCGCCGCTCTCCGGGTCGGCACCATTCATCATCGCATCCAGGATGTCCTTGCGGGCAGTCTCTGGCTGCTCTTTCCGGGTCTTGATTACCTGCGCAGCGAACCCGCGCATGGTCTTTGTGTCTTTCTCGAATCGGCGTTGGTACAGCCAGTTCAGGAGCTTGGGGCGGGTGGGTCGCTTCATCGCCTCCATGGTGGCGCCGTCCATGGCAGCGAGCATAGGTGGTTCGGCGCCTTCGAGCACATGCACGCGCTGGTTAAAGAAACATTGCATGCATGATGCAAGCAGGAGACGGTCCAGGTCTTTGGTGAGCAGGGTCCGAGTCTTGGTTCCTGCGCTCCACTTTTTAGTCAGGTCTGGGATGACCTCTGCCATGTCGCCGAAGAGGTTATCGGTCGCAGATTGCGTGAGATGAGGCATCATGATCCGGTGGGCGATGCCCCAGCTCTTCTCATAGTCGTATGCTGTGAATAGACTGTCGTGCACGGCATGTCGGATCTCGACTACTGGTCCCGTAACGCACTTGCGGAATCGGGTCTGGTCGCAAATTTCTTCCAACAGAGCGACACTGCCGATGAATACAATCTCATGGCCGAGAGCATTGATCTTGAAAATGGAGCCTAATGAAATCAGGGACTACTCGCTAGTGCTGGGTGTTGTCCAGGTCTGTGGACGGGTTGCTGTCATACCAAATTGTTTTGCCAACTTGTTGAGCGAGTTCCAGGTCTCATTAGGGTTAACGTCGAAAACATTACCCAGGAGGGGAACTCCGGGCGGTCCTGGGATTTCGGTAGGCATTGTCACTGGAAAAGGTGATGAGGGGTATCACTAGTATACACAAACAAAATATCGAAAGTCGGAGAGAGAAGAGAGAGAAGAGCTTCAAGCTCTCAGCGGGCGGGGAGAGTCTTAAAGCATCGGTTCTTGATTTTAGTTTGTATGAAAGTCTGCATTGTTTCCCGATCGGCAGATCGAGGTGACCTAGGCTATTGGCGCGCGAGAGATCTGACGCTCGGCCTAAGTCTCCATCGTTCACAAGAAGTTTGTGGACGAGCTGAAGGATCGGCGCGATTGCGATGTAATAGCGTAGATTGGCGCCGCCGATCGCACTAGGATAGGTAATCCGTCAGGCTATCTGGATCCCATTTGCAGCCATCTGGGGCCACTGGAGTAGCTAAAGCGCGCTACGGGCTGTAGTGCAACCAGTGAGCTCAATGGGGTTCAGCACAATTGTCAGCCGGAATCTTCTGCGGATTTTTTTACTCTGCATCGCTAACTCGATTCGTCTCCACGCATCTTGACCGCTTCTGTGTAGCTTTCTCCTTGCAATGGCTAGGCATCGTTGATCATGGTGTGAGGGGGTGGGATGAGCATCATACAGAATCTTGGAGAGGTCGAATCATAATCAAAAGGTAATATGTCTGTCGGGCCAATTGGTTGATGGTGACTGACATCATACCAGCCTCCTTATTCTCCTTATTCTCCAGAGATAATCTGCGACATCATATTCCGCAGGGATCAAGGCCCGTGCTGTGTGAACATCATTCATCCACTTGCCGGAGTTGATCCTTGGTCAGCTCCCCTTTAGCTTCTCAGGCTCAACAGCCATTGGAATGAGGAAGTATGTTGTATAACACTGTACGTTGTACAGAGTACAATTCAGGGAAGTTCCTAGACGGACCTTCCCACAGTCTCGTAAATCACGTGAACCATGATTTAGAGTGATGGATCACATGGATTCTCCCATTGACCGCTATTATTTAACTGTTTGGACATGAGAGACGCTACGTTATATATGCCCCAGATTCCAGGTTTTCACTTGATAGTAACTGGATGTATGTATATCCAGGAAATAGTACAGTGGCTACATAAATAAGTCCCCAACCTAGAACCCAAAGCTGTCTAGCAACGAATTGGCATCCGGCTCATGAAACATCGTAGGAGGTGGCTTCGGCTTCGGTTTCTGTTCTTCTTTCATCGGTTGCTCGCCGGGTGGGATTCTAGAAACGGCGGGCTCCGGCAAGACATCTGCCCGGCGCACCGGCATGTCAGCAACAACGAGGCTGCTCCGCCGACGAAGCATTCTTCGGTAATCGACTCCGTTCTCATCCATCTCCAGGGAGGTATTAGGCTTCAATGCATCCTGAGTAGGGAGTCCACCCAGGAACTCCCAGTGGCGTACCAAGTCGAGAGCGAGGAAGTCGCAGCCCATACGGTCGTAGAGTCGGGCATTGCGGATAACGAATTCCCATTCTTCTCTGGGTCGCACTTTGGAGGCGCCTTTGAGGGTTTGGAGTGTCTTTTCGCGGAGTTGCTGGTATAAGACTACCAAGGCAGGGTCGTTGGAAAGATATGATTTCGACTGAAGGGTTACTCGCCCGGGGCTTCCCGGGGTGGCTGGGGTCGTCGTCGGTGATAGGAGGGTCTCAACCGGCGACTAGATCTGATTAGTTGGGGCCCTGGCAGCCAGAGAAGAAGTACTCACAATCAGTGCCCGCACTGCCATATCCCGTCGTCCAAGCATCCAGAAAGCCCAAGAGGCCATCCAGCGGTTGCCCTTGGAAGCGGCCCCAGGCAATACTTTTTCTTCCAGTATCTCCCGAAGAACCGGTCCGTTATCCCCTTCTGAGGCTCGAGTGATTGCGATCGCGAGCTGGAGATCACCCATCTGGTTTATGATGACGTTTGTAGCGTCACGCAGATGATCAGCGAGAAGGAAGAAAGATGCAGCATATTCTGTTTAGTGTTAGCTGGCAGTGCTCATTTGTAGACAATATGAGGTTCGAATTACCAAACCGTCGCTTTCCAAGCAATGCATAAGCATTCTTGAGCGCAGATGTCCTCCATCGCGGTTCCTTGAAGTCATTTGCCAACAAACGTTGGGTTGCTGCTTGTTCACGGTTCCAGTGTGCAATACGCCAGAGACCCTGAAGGACGTTCTTCTTTCCGAGGGCGAGGTAATACAAAGTACAGTCGATGGGATTTTTCTCTTCCGTCTTGGTGTATTCACACCGGGCGAGGATTTCGAGTTGTGCTTTCTAATTAACCGGTTAGTTCATGGCTAAGAAAATGATATGACAGACACGCACCACAGCTATGGAATCCGATAGCCACATGAAGAGACCGCTTTCACGAGCAGCCCTCCACGTCAATTTTCCATTGAATTGCCGGGAGACAAGATCTGTGAGAATATCTTGGCTGCTGCTATGGTAAGCCCAAACAATCTCCCGCCATGAGACAGTGTCTTTGTTGGCCACCCCTTGAGTGCGCCGTAGCATATGCTGTCGGAAGAATAAGAGATAGCGTGCTGCGTTGTCGTCCATCGAGCGCCGGTGCTTCTCAACCATGGAAACACATTCAATGGTATCTGCCAAGCGGAATTGTTCGTGGCTAGACAGTTGTGGCAAGGCGATCCGTGCTAGACTCTCATTGAGCGCGGCCGCGGTGTTTTCATCTACGACAGATAACAATTCCTCGTCAGTGGAATCGACGTAGGAAGAGCGTATTTCCTTGGAGATCGCTTGTTGGGAACCCTGACTTTTGTTAGCATTGGGAAGAGAAATGAAATGTTGCGCACTTACATCTTCCTCGTAGAAACATTCTACTGGCATCTCTAGGAAACAATCTAGCTCATCGCCCTCGGTGTAGAACTTCAGCTTGTGGTGTAGGTTCAAGAGAATCAAATGTACCAAGCTAGTCTTCCCAGCCAGAATGCACTGTGCCAAGTACTGTGGATGGAACACAGGCAACGGGCCATTCAGGCGACTGACAACGTCGAAGAGATCGACAGATGACAGCCCTCGAGATGGCATCCGAAGCTCAGACACTAGGCGGTCTCCAACATCAATATCCTTGTCATAAACGAACA